TGGAGGGCCACAAGTAAGTCAGGGCCTCTTTTATTGGTGCTCTTTTCTCTTGTAATAATATGCAGCAGTTAATCTCCCTTTCTTTACATTATGCCTCCCTCAAAACATCTGTAGCATAAACTCCCAAATTCTTTCTGCACATACAATATTACATTTTTGGGATGAAAAGAAAGGGATTATTAAAATATAAATAGTTTTGTGGCCAATTAACTCCAATACAGTGTGTAACTAATAACTCATAAATTATAATGATATGAATGTGATTAGTGACTATTGGTTGATTATGGGAAAAATAGAAAATCAATCAAATCTCTAAGGAATTAGGGCACAAACATTCAATGTAAGTTACGTCTTTAAAAATAATAAATTTGTTTTTAGAGAATTTTCTTTTGGCATATTTTAAATCTTCTAAACATTTAAACATCAGGGTAAAAAGTTGGACGAAGAATGATTTGATTCTGAAATTGTAACTTTACACTAAGACTTAAAACAGGGATTAGTATTGGTTTAAGAAAACTAGAGCCCCAAATTAGTGCCATTAGCCTATCAAGTTAGGGATCTCAATATATGCCCAAATCTATTTTATTTATCCTTGTATGCCCTTAACAAAGTGCTCTTTCCAGCCGATCTTCAATCAGACTTTCTCGCTATCAGGAGGGCTCTTTTCTTAAGATTGAGATTAGATGAATAAAATGGTCGAGTGCGGCAGAATGGGAGTGAAATGAGAGACAAAGTGATTGCATTTCAAATTCAATAGGGAATAAGGGACAACATGGACTCATTGGATTCAATGGACAAAAACCCATTGTTTGGACTTTCTGTAGAGACCGTTGAAGGTCCAAAGGTCCTCAAGGAAGAAGTAAGTCTGATTCCTGTGCAAGTTCTAAAGCCTGTTACTCTTTCTACTCTTTTAACAAAGGCAGTTTTTGTAGAACATTTCAAGAAGAATACACAAGAATACACACTATAATCCTGCAGCTGAATGTATGCCAATCCGGAAAGTTCCTAAAGCTTTTGGTTGGAGAAGCAGCTGCTCTCCTCAGGATTTGCTGGAGATGCAGACAGGGGGAAGCGAGCAGAATCCATCTCCGGCCAACAAGATGGATGAACTGCTGCTCCTCAGCAAAGCTAACACAGGCTTCAGCAGATCTGACGCCCTGACAGTCACTGAAAACTGGCTCAAGAGCACATCCCGGTACATCTGCCGGGCTTCCAACTCCTCCGAGCGGACCGAGGAACGGCACTGTCGAGGGAAAATGAGGGTAGGCAGAATCTGCTTTGATATTAACAGAGGTTAGTGTACTGTTGTCACGGTGTTAAAGGAATCATGCATCGCTCACCTCGGGCCTGTGTGAATCAGGTGGTCCACCTGGCTGAGCAGATCATCAATGGGGAGCACAGACTCCCTGCTGTTCTTAGGGACTTCAACGAGATAAAACATCAGCAAAGAACTGTCCAAATAAAGAAAGCACATTACATGTAGCACAATGGACAAAAACATTCTGGACCTGCTGTTACACTGTAGTAAGTATGCTTATCCCTTAGTCCCCCATGCATCATTGTCTAGTTCATCTTATCCCAACCTACAAAGCTCGTGTTGTGAGCATTGTAAAGCAACAATAAACCCTTGTTTAATAAGAACCTCTAAAGGTAAGTTTTTATTAATCTTTTAGGGTATTATAATGTAAACAACATACATTGTCATATTTCTTTGGATTGAAGAAATGGACATTGATATTTACTGTATCAAAAATATTGAGTGCCAATTGTTGTGGAATATTTCAATAAAAGCTCGGTAGAAGAGAATGATTTGTCTGATAAAACAGAGTCTTGATGAATGATCAAAGTTGCAAAAAGTCCATTTATTGCTTGCAAGCAGGAGGTCAAATACACAGGCACGTATCACGGTGCTCTGTGGAAATGGCGTCTCCGAGCACTAAAGACGCTGAGTTTTTATACACATGTGAAGAACATTCTCCGTGCCAGTTACGAGAAGCTGCAAAGCAGGTTGAGATAAGAGCCCAGGTGAAGCTGAGGGTAGCACACACACACACACAAGATCCTCCTCAGTGGCCGGTACAAATCATAATTAATTGACATGAAAGTAAAACTTGGATCCAGAACTTTCGTACAGAATAAGATATCAACCAAGGCCATGAAGAGGAGTCCTTTGTTTTGAAGCTTCTATGAGATCGAGTCAACCGTCCTCCCTTCTCAGGGCACAGCTACAAACTAACATTTTGTATCATGCTGCTCTTTGCACATCGGGGTCAAATACAGGACACTTGAGATACGGCTTTAGCACAAAACAATGTTATAACATATTTTTACCATTACATTCCACTCTTTTGATTATTCTTTAATCACACATAATATTGCAAAAAAATATGTTTTTGTGAGACCATGTCTCGTGTTTAGCAAGCAAATGTAAACCACTCTTTAGATGGCTGATTACAAAATCACAAAAAGATACTTAGATAATGATAAGATAAACTGAAGCAAGCAATAATATGAATAAAACCGTAGTGACACAAACGACTACTGTGTCGCCTGAGCCCACTAATGGTACTGGAACCTTCTTGCAATGGGACGCGTGGACCCAAGTTGCCCTCTCATCTACTTTGACAGCTGTTTGGGTGACGAGGAGGATCTGGAATGGTCCCTGCCAGCGTCGTGCTTTCCAGTTTTTTCTTCTGAAGTCTTTCACCACCACAAAGTCACCAGGTTTCAGCTTGTGGAGTGGGCCTTCAGCTGGTTTTGGGAGGGCGGCTGCAACCTGTTGTCGTATGTTAGACAGAGCAGAAGAGAGTTGTGCACAATATTTTAACATTTCATGTTCGCATAATGCGGTTGAAGGGAGTGGTGCCGTCGGTGCCTCGGTTCCTACGTGAGGAGGAAAACCAAACAATATCTCTAAGGGACTTCGTGTTCGTTTTCTCATGCGCATGTACATCAACACTAGAGGCAGGGCTTTTGTCCAGGGCAGACGTGTGTCTGCACAGCATTTTGCCAATTTGGTTTTGAGTGTGCCATTTTCTCGTTCCACAGCCCCTCCACTGGCTGGATGGTATGCGCAGTGTGTTTTTAAATCAATACCCAGGTATGCGCTTAATTCTGTAATGGCCTGGTTGACAAAATGAGAACCATTGTCACTTGATATTTTAGAAGGAATGCCCCATCGAGGAATGATTTCAGAAATCAGGGCCATGGCTACTGTTGCAGCGGTTTGTTTGCTTGATGGAAAAACCTTCACCCACTTGGAAAACATGTCCACCATCACTTGACAGTGTTTCTTACCTTGTGATGGAGACAACTCCACAAAATCCATCATAATGTGCTCAAACGGGCGGGTTGGTGGTGGGTGTGCAGCCTGGCTGGACACGCCCACGGGCCTGCCTACATTGTGAGTAGAACAGGTGACACATGCAGAACAGAATTTTTGTGCATATGCAGTGAACCCTTTTGTAAACCACGTCTCATTAAGTGCACGTAACATTCCCACTTTTGACACATGGTCTAACCCATGAGTCAACTTAGCATAATGAGCAAAATAGTGTTTAGGTAAACACGGCTTGCCGTCGGGTCCAGTCCAGATACCGTTGGTGTAAACACAGCCAGATGTGGACCAAAGCCGTCTTTCATCAGGGGTAGAGAGTGACTGCATCGCTGTGAGAGAGGAGGGAACTGACACTCAACGAGCCGTTTTCTGGAAACCCAAACTCTTTTGTCCAGTATGGGAGACACTCTGTACATGTTTTCCCGTATTTCTGCTGCATCATTGCCACAATCGGACCCGACGTTCCGTGTGTTTTGCGGACTGGCCACCCATCTTTTACTGGTGGACCCTACCGGTTTACTTATTACAATACAGTCGTCACCGTAAGGCTTAGTTTCTTTACTCAAGGAAAAACTTTGCAAAAACCCCACTCAAAAACTCACGCTTCAATTTTGCCACGATCTTGTTCTAAAGGTAATTCAATAGAACTCACGTTTGGTTATCAAAAACAGTGATATTGTTTTGAATGTTTTTCAGTGTAAAACTCACGCTTTGATATTGCCACGATCTTATTCTAAGGGTAATTCAGTAGAACTCACGTTTGGTTATCAATAACAGTGATATCGTTTTACCTGCTTCAGCATAAAATTCACGTACGCTATTTCCACGATCTTATTCCACAGGTGGAATTCACGTTTGGTCAATAGCAACGGTCTTATTTTACCCGGGTAGTCAAGCGATCTGCGTTACGATCTCGGAGAATTTGTTCCGAGTGAAATCTTTACCGTAAGCAATCCTGTCTTCTACTTGTAGTCTAGCGATGTTACGATCTCGGAGAATTTGTTCCGAGTGAAATCGTACACGATCCTATCTACCTTCGCATAAAATGATGCATTAGAAATATCCCGGAATCATGTACTCAAAAAAATATTAAAAGATTATTATAAGAAAAAAACACCCAAAATGTTAAAAAATATTAAAATAATTTTATTCCCCAGACTATAACAACCACTTGATCAGTCATCCGTTTCCGTTATGTTCAACTCTTACTGTTACTTTATAATCGGAATTTCAACTTCTTACCCGAGTTTGTAGAAATTAATTATTTTTCGCTGGATACACGTGACGTCGATCAGGACTCCTCTGGTTTCCGCCGGTCCTTTCTCTCTTGTCTAAGGAGGTATGAGGCAGGATCATCAGCTGGTGGCACTGCAAATTATTTGAATCTTATCAAGATAAAAAAAACTTAGATTTAGAAGTGTTAGATAATTGATCTTGTTTTAAGAGTGAATTTCTTATTTTTAGTGTTTAACTTTACACTAAAATCTTAAATCAAGCACAACCTTATCTTTTTTGTCTCAAATAGGCATGACATCTTAAAATTAGTCAGATAACTGTTAAATTAAGATCTTTTACATCTCTCCCTCAAATTCTCATCAATAAAGCTTGTTTTAAGATTCAGTAAACTCAAGTTGCTTGATTCAAGAGTCACACAAAAAGCATCTGAAAGAAACAGAGTTTATTATTGCTCTGACTTCAAGCATGTTCAGACAATGTGAGGATAAATTATACAGCCTTCACCACAACTCACCATACAGTCCATGGAATTGTTTAATGACCAAAACAGTTTGTTAACAAAAACAGGCCCAGGAAACCGGCAAACTTGATCACCCAATAAATCAATGCTTCCCTTTCATTCCTCCATTTTAATGTCTACTTCTGTGGGCAATAATATCACAAAGACTATATTTTATTGGCACAAACATATGTCCCTTGAAACTAACAGAAAAATAAGAAATACAGTCAATGAGTTCATGTACAAATTCTGTAGCCTGGGCAACATTGGGAACTGCCACCTCATATGCCAGCAATTCTGGACTCAAATTCAGTGTCTCATAACGCTGGTACTCAAAAGCAACATAAGAGGAATCAATCACAAATATATCTTTTATCAGTCCGAACACTGGGAAAGCATCATCTACATCTACAATAATCATAGATTTACCACTAATGTACTTATTGCCATTGAGGATGTACCATTTCACTGAGACAACAGATTGCATGACCTCTACGCCTAGAAAATCTTTGACTTTTCTCTTGACATAATCAAAATTTTTGACAGCTGAGACAGGCCCCGATTCTCTTTCACTAGCAAAAATTGGATGCTCAATGCCTATTTCATTTTGACAACATTCAAGGAACTGGTTATGGTTTGCAAGCGATTTACAGACATTTTTGAAATTTAACTTAGAAGCCCACTGCTTAAAATAACTGTGCTTAGCTTCAAATCGCATACACATACTTCTTATTAATGGACCAAGAGATATGATTTGGCTTGGTAGATGTAACATGTAATGTTGCTTGGGTATTACATTGGCTTCAGAGAAAAGTTCTTTGAAATGATGCAGATGTTGCTCAATCATGCGTCTGAGCCGTAACACGGTTTCTAAAGAAATAACAGGAGCAAGGACAATTTGAACAATCTCAATTAACTTGAGAATAAATTTGACATACTCGTTGTCCATACCGTTCAAAAGAAAAGGTAGGATTTTTAAAAGTATCAACATTTGTCCACATGACTGCTTTAATTTATTGTCATTAGCAGCTAAAGTACTGACACTAATAGGACATGGCTTATCTCTTATGTCTAGAGGTGAGTAAGGAAAATTTAGAATAGCTGAGTTAATCTCATCTAATTCTATCTGTCCTGACAGAATCAGGTTTTTTAATACAAGCTTTATTTCCATTGGTGCAACACCTTCAAAAATGACATGCATTATATCCTGTGGTGTTTGTTTGATCAGATCAAATGCTGGAACATCAACTAGTCTGCTTCTTCTGTTAATCCCATAAGTGGTTTTGAGGGATGCTTTCAATGTTTCTGTGCTTGCCTTATCTATTTCAACACACTGCCTAATGTGCTTTTCCAAAGTTCTTTCAGCAAACCTATTCTCCTCAAAAATACTTTGCATATCCTCAAAGGAGCATTCACAATGTCTACATTTGCTATAAGCAAAACCAACACCTTGTTTAAATCCAGCAATATCATGTTGGGCAAGTGTGTCTCCACATATGGCGATCACAGCACCAAACAACTCAATTTCACCATTTGGGGTGTCAATCCTAACACCATTGTACAGAAGTGTCAGATCTTTTTGGATTCTTTTTAGTATAACATCAACACCCCACTGAGAAATATTGTTTGCCTTGGCAATAGCCAGGAGTCTTATTGCAGCCAACTTCGACCTAAATTTTGGATCTATATTCCCTAAACTATAATAAAACATCAGTAATTTATTTGCAGAGGCATGGGTGCCTAAAGGGTTACATATTTCAATTTCATCGGTGTACAATAGTATTTGCAATGCATTTGGCCTTTGAGAATATAATGGATGGGATGTAAAAAGGGCTCCATCAGTAAAATCATACAAGAATCCCTCACTTCTTTGTGGTACAGTGGTTAACATGGTGAAGATTCTGGGATTGGTCAGTAACTGCTTAAGACTTTGAATGAGTGGTACATAGTAAAAACTTTTGCCTCTTAAGGCCATGACCCTTGATAGACCACGCTTTACCCAACAAATCTTCTGGGACACCACAACTTCCTCTGGGTTGACTGGATTGAATAGTTCCCGGATGGTTTTATTCTGTCCATATGCTGTGGTTGAGAAAGGATCCATGAACGCATCAAACGTAGCCAAAGCCTCCCCTTGGAGCTGAGCAGTTGTGTCTGGATTCTCTTCAAACACCCTTCTGATTCTCTCCCTTAGTGTGTCAATGAGAGCAGCTTGGTACTGTTGCACCCCTGAGATGACACTGTTGACAGTTCTCTGGGAAAATATTTAAAATGTAAATAATTTTGTCACCCATATAATTCACAAGCCCATATTTTACATTAGAATAATTTAAATTAATAGTACCATTAAAGCATTTGCCCATGAAGATAAATTTACCTGTGATAACTGGCACTGTTCCCGGACACTGATGGCGAATGCCGCTGCGGATCTAGCTATATCAGGTCTGGTTCTGGAGGTCACAGCAACAGCGTCTTCCTTTATAAAATGAGTTGTAATTTTTTAAGAGCGAGTAGATGGACACAGTCAAAGTTGCAATTGATTTGAAAGGAAATGGACATTTTTGAGGAGATGCCCGAGAGGGGAAAGACTTCATTTTAATCCCGTATTCGCTTCACTGGTCTGGAACCTGAGCAGCTCTATCGTCTAAGGTAAGAGGAATTAAATGTTTTTTTTAATGTTTAATCTTAGCATTCAATGGAGATAATACCTATGAAAGAGAAAGTGTGCATAGGCTACTCAAATCATGCATGATTAACGCGCACACTCGCAGTGTGGATTCAATGAGGCCCATATTTAAATATATCGTTATATGTAGGACAAAAATATTAAATTACATAACAAGTCAGCATCACACAGAGAGCAACCTAATTGGCACGATAAGATTGAAAATAAATTGAATTGTGGAAACTTACGGACTCAAGGCGGCCGTCAGCTTCAGGCTGTGGTGACGGTTCAGGTAAAGAGGCATCAGGTGGGACAGCCGTAGTGCTGGCCGCTGCAGGAGTGCTACAGCTGGCAAACACCGAAACACCAAATGTTTCCTGTCCCAAAGACCGAGAAGGCGTCGTACTCCATCCGCTTGGTGGGCATCCAGTCCTCAAATACTGAAGGTGCGTCCGTTTAATGTGGCGAAAGAAAGAGTTAAAAACTCTAAAGTCCTGTTCACATCCATCAATACCACAGTAAACCCAAAAATCCGGGCTGCGACTGTGACTTTTATTAATGTGGCTAAGGAGTACTTTAAGACTTAAAGCAACAAAGACGAAACATATCATACACCTCCACGCCGCCATGATGCACCGTTGTTGTCGCGGGCTAATGATCCAGAGGTGGATGGGGAGGGGGGCACTCATGAAATAATTTGTTATTATTTTAACAATACATTCCTCTAATTATAAATGCGACTTAATTAATTTTACGATGGTAAGTTTTTAAAAAATAATATTTTGCTAACATGTTCATGTTTACGTCCGATCATTTCTGCGCATCCTCAGTTCATGTCCTCCAACGGTCCCACCTCAATGACGTCAGTGTTCGCGGTTCACCGCTTGAGTAACTGAAAGATTTGGGTGCGTTACATTTGACGAAGAAGTGCAAGAAGAGCGGCTCAATGTCAGTAAACTTTATTGAATTAGTAAATATTACTATGTCGGTATATGCTTAGCAAGCTAGCTAATTGTTAGCTAATGTGCACTTTTACACGCTAGCCGTTAGCTAACGAACTCTGTTTGCCTATGGGTTTTCCCGGGTAGTTCTACGATACCGCCTGTTAATGCTTCAGGGAGCTGATGAATCTAAGATGGATACTTTTGACGATGCCACTCTATCGGTGTTGGAGGGTAAGTCATGAATACAATTTATATCTGATGCATTGATGCTATTTATGGAGTGTACTTTATTAATAACTGAATACTTTTATTTGAAATCCAACATTTTTCTGCTTTCTCGGTTTTTCCTCAACCGTCATTTGCTTAACGAATTTATAATATTCTTAGGATGAAACATTTTAAGTAAGAGTCAGAATTCTAAAGCAAAATATATGGTTGTAAAATAGAAATCCCACATTTTAAAAACACGCGGTCTGCAGTGTCCCGCAGGCGGGAACGTTACCCTTCCCCCCCAACATTGTAAATCATCAGATTGTTATGTAGCAGTCATTATACCTCATTTGAAAGCTTGGACTCTTATGAATCAATACATGACAATGTAAAATATGTGTTTATACAATGTCAAGTCAATCGATATCTTTTATTAACCAAATTAACCAAAAATGCCCTCCGCCCTTGGTGCTTCACTACCTTCTAGCTGCAGTGTACAGCCTTACTAAATAAATTGATTGGTTCTGTAGCTTGCTACTGCTTTATCTAAAGATAGATATTTGTCATATATCTCACAGCTGCCAGTGTTGATGAGGAGGCTTTGAAAGGCCTTAGCCGGGATGACCTGAGGGATCTTTTTCCTGGCCCAGAGAATTTCCTCAAAAGAAAGAAACTTTGGAATTTCATCAGTGAAAATGTAAACACAAATTGGAATGAGTAAAAACTAGTAAAGTATACATTTTAATGGTTCTAATGCATTTTGTTTTCATTCCACACAATTCTAATAGTGTGAAAATACCACGGACCAAGATGCCAACAATTGTGCCATGCCACCATGCCAGCCTCAAACCTCAACCCCCATATCTGCTGAGAAAAAAATGAAAATGCCAGACCCTCCAGAGTATGTGGTGTACACAGATTCAGAGTTAGACATGGTGCGTAGTCAATACTTTGCACTGCTCTGCAATGGAAAGGAAAAAAATTACAAACTGTCCAAGGAGCTATGTTGCAGACTTGTAAGGAACACAATAACCAGTATGGTTGCTATCCTGCGTGCTAGTCCCATGGGGAAAGAAGTCAGTTACCCGTCAAAATTGGAAATAAGAGCCATGTCACAGAAGATTATAGACTATTACCCAATGTTACGGGATGATGATCCAAACATGCCTTATGTAAGTATTATTTTTTTATCTAAACCAAAACTTTGGGCAGGTCAGCAACAAGACAAACAACGTATCTAACATTCTTTTACCACAGCTGACTATCTACACCAAAATGTACAAGCGACTCCAAAATATGAGATCCCCACGGAAGAGGCAAGGCTCTGTACCACAAAGAGGAGCGGCAAAGACAGCTCTCTTCAGTGCAGACAACCAAGACATGGAGACGGATTGGACAGACACAAGCAACTCAAGTGATAATACCTTACTTCTTGAGAGCAATGATGACCTTACCGAGGACAACTCCAGTGAAGGTGTGCAAATTGTTTGCAAAAAATGAAGGGGTGCTGTTAGACTACTGTTTTTTTGTCTAAAAATTGTCTAATCATGTAATGAAACTATAGTTGTCTGTATTTGTCGAGCCAGAGTTTATGGCTAGGCATGCACTGTGTTTATCTGCCGGTTTTGCTTGTTGTCATGCTTTTATTTGTGTTTTATTTCTTTCATTATTTCCCCAAAAAGCATTCCCAGCACATCGACCCCCCTCTGTGCCAAGGAAGCCAAAGACCAAAACCTTCCTGCTGCCATCCGCATCAGCCTCAGGCTCCTCACTCAGGACTGTGATCGCTTCACCAACCACGCCTGCAAAGGATGATGTTGGTAAGCCCACCTCAGCACACCTCTCAGCCTGTTATCCATGATAATGACTTTCAGAGTGGCAAATCAGAGTCTAAACGGTTGGAGATTAAATTCAAATTTCCTTAGTTTGTGGATGTTAATGGAAACTCTTTTTCCAGACAACTCCCATTGTTCATATAAACAACATAAAATTATTGTATTTTTGTATTACTAATTATTGTATTATTGTATCAATTAAGTTAATTGATTTGAGTGTTACAAGGGAAGTAGACCGACCTTCATAATGCAATAAAGTTGTGTTTACGTTGAAATGTCTGCTCTGTTTTTTGCCATTTCAGTCGGCCAGGACAGTCTGAAAATGCAGGCTAAGCACTACAAAACCTTGAGCAACATGTACAATAAGCCAAATGCAAAACCCAATCAAAGTGATGTTGCTCAAGTTTTAGACCTTGAGTTTAAGGCCAGACGGGCTTTCATTGATGCAGATGTTACAAGGGAAGAAGACCGACCTGCAAAAATCTTTGAGGCATATCCATGCTTTAGAGATGTTCGAAATGTATGTTTTTTTTCCACTACTTGCACTTGAATTACTGTCTATCCATCTGTGTTCTAAATGTCCAATGGTTGTAAAACTGTGCACAATGCTGTCTTAGGCAATGGATGAGCTGCGGCGCATAGTAGGTGGCACCAACAGCAGATACATCGAGGAAGTGAAAGGAAGATGGGTAGACTTTTGTGCCAAGGTGCAGTTCTATGGTGTGTGGAAGAAAGCCCTGAAACCCCCCTTTCCATCGGATGTCCGTGGAGGTAAGTTGCGGTTCCATATGCAAATGTATTTTGATTTATACCATATTCAGACCATTCAGACCAATCTTTCTATTCTTTAGTGGAGTTCACGCTTGCCCTCTTCAATGCACTCCCATCCCTTTTCCCCTCACCAACTTCACCACCAAAGAAGCTTGGAAATAGCTGTGAGGCACTTCTTCATGTCCTGAAGGTAAAAACATTTTTGTGTGTTGATTCCTTACTGTCCTCTTATTTTCTCACATTTGTTGTGCATGTTCACATAACAATACACCCTAAGTTCACAATCACAGATACTTTTTGCAAAAAAGTGTTTCTAGTGTCCCTCAAATGGTGTTCACAGAAAGGAATACCAAGAAATGTTTGATTAAACAAAAAACCTTTGATTAATTCATCCATTAATTCATCCCAGAAACATAAAAATGCACCTTGCATCAGCTTGTATCCATTGTTAATCCATCCTAAATTCTTACACCTTGATCTGTCAAACAAATGTTGCCCATTTTGAAGTAATTCATGATTATTTCTTCCTGTGTAATAATAAATCAATATTTTTCATCAGTGTTTGTATATAATAATGACTATTTCAAGAGTGTCATTAGTTGCAACTTGGTCATTTATCTAAAAATTAAATTTTTATGTTGAACATGCACTTGACTTTCAATACATTTTTATGTCTTCTCACTTTACACATTGTTCTTTTTATTCTGTTCCAGTCAGGCGAAGACCCTGCCCTGTACCTGGAAAAGCATCCTCTCTCCTCCCCAGTTCTGCTTTCTGATGGCTCAACCACCATTGTGGCTGTGGGTAATGTACCTGTGACCACCCTCCCTCAGGAAGATTTCTCAGACGGGATGTTGGTGTTAATGGCATATTACTACACTTTGCACTTAAGATATCCAAAATGTGTTGCAACGCTCCTGTCAGTAATTCAAACAGAGGTAATTGGTGACACAATCCACGATCAAGATGCCACTAGTGCTTACAGGAAAGCAATGGCTGATTGGAAGTATTTCATTGAGAAGTAGCTGAGTATTTTGTCATGCCAGTTCTTATTGTTAGCTGTGAGTTCTTATTGTTAGCTGTGCCTAATAATAGTTTTGTGTTGCACAAGCTTATACAGTCACTGAGTTATTACCTCATTTAGGCCTGTATTTAAAATGATAGTTAAGGAAAAATCCATAACTGAGGGCTGAGAAGTGTTTTTGTTTTTTGCCCTTTTGCTTTTAATTTCTTTTATTTTTATGGAAAAGTATTCAAATGTCTATAGCAAACTTGACTTGCTGATGTTAAATAAATGTTGTCTTAAGCCATGTTATTTCTGCACCATTATTCTAAAAAAGGACAGGCTTTAGATTTTAAGATGCTCAAAGTAAGAAAACAAAATGGGTAATTGCTTATATTTAGTATATTTCACTTATTTTGAGGCTGTAAAAGTTTAAATTTAAGTAATCTAGTCTTAAAAACAGCATTTTATGCTTATATTTAGTATATTTCACTTATTCTGAGGTTGTAAAAAGTTTATTTTAAGTTATCTAGACTTAAAACCAGCATTCTATGCTTTTATTTAGTATAATTCACTTATTTTAAGGCTGTAAAAAGTTTAAATTTAAGTAATCTCATTTTACAACCAGCATTTTATGCTTATATTTAGTATAATTCACTTATTTTGAGGCTGTAAAAGTTTAAATTTAAGTAATCTAGTCTTAAAAACAGCATTGTATGCTTATATTTAGTATATTTCACTTATTCTGAGGCTGTAAAAAGTTTATTTTAAGTTATCTAGACTTAAAACCAGCATTCTATGCTTTTATTTAGTATAATTCACTTATTTTAAGGCTGTAAAAAGTTTAAATTTAAGTAATCTCATTTTACAACCAGCATTTTATGCTTATATTTAGTATAATTCACTTATTTTGAGGCTTTAAAAAGTTTAAATTTAAGTAATCTGATCTTAAACCCAGCATTTTCATCTTATGTTAAGCCTTCCAAATACCTCTTTAGACAAGCTTATTTCTAGATTTAATTATCTTAATTCAAGAAATCTTGTCAAGTGAAATTATCTAGCTGCATGGACAGATAATTTCACTTGTTTTGAGTACATTTTACCTTAAATTTAGTTTTTTTTATCTTGTTTTGAGACACCCTTTTTTTGCAGTGTGGAAAAGTCCTTTTCCCCGGACGGTCCCCTGGAGCCTGACGGACGGTCAGTGAATCCTGTTCGTGACGCCAAATTGTTGTGGAATATTTCAATAAAAGCTCCGTAAAAGAGAATGATTTGTCTGATAAAACAGAGTCTTGATGAATGATCAAAGTTGCAAAAAGTTTTTATTACATTTATTGCTTGCAAGCAGGAGGTCAAATACACAGGCACGTATCACAGTGCTCTGTGGAAATGGCGTCTCCGAGCACTAAAGACGCTGACTTTTTATACACATGTGAAGAACATTCTCCGTGCCAGCTACGAGAAGCTGCAAAGCAGGTTGAGATAAGAACCCAGGTGAAGCTGAGGGTAGCACACACACACACACACACACAAGATCCTCCTCAGTGGCCGGTGCAAATCATAATTAATTGACATGAAAGTAAAACTTGGATCCAGAACTTTCGTACAGAATAAGATATCAACCAAGGCCATGAACAGGAGTCCTTTGTTTTGAAGCTTCTATGAGATCGAGTCAACCGTCCTCCCTTCTCAGGGCACAGCTGCAAACTAACATTTTGTATCATGCTGCTCTTTGCACATCGGGGTCAAATACAGGACACTTGAGACACGGCTTTAGCACAAAACAATGTTATAACATATTTTTACCATTACACTCTTCATAAAGCCTTCAATCTTCCATAGAATACCTACTGCTAATTCTCTCCTCACTCGGCTCTCAGGGGCTTGTTGACCTTATTACAATTATTTTGACCTTTTCACTGGTCGACTTCTCCAGTTGAGGATAAGGGCACATTACAGGGAAGTGATCAGTTGAACAGAATGGCTGACAAGGGGTCAGATGGACAGGACTGTTGGTGGTAGTGACAGGGCAGAGCTTGAGATGAGAAGAGTCCCGAATGTCAGAGATGAGGGCAGCGATGAGGAAGAAAGAGGGTGAGAAACGCAGTGGAGTTGAGGCACGCTGTTCACTGTCCAGATGACCCCTCTCACTTGCATGCTTGCCTGGCAGCGAGTCAGTCCATCACATTGACTTTAACTGCTGAGCAAAATCTGTTCATTAGACCTGACAGATGAAAGGGAGGCCCATGAAGTTAGGCTGTGAGTGGATCCATTACATCGTCAATATCGTTATGAAGAGCTTACATATGAAGCAGCTCTGGTCAGCTGTTGTGCTTTCAGTCTCTTGTTCATGTGATCTACACAGCCGGCTGCACAGATAGGTAACAGATGGAATTGGGTGAGAGATAATCCAGGCATTCGCTTCATCTGTCACACTTCTTTCATCTCTGTAGTACCGTGCTGAAGGTCTTTGTCTCCATTACATGGTTTTGTAGCTTTTTTCCCCTCAACCTTCGAAATGTCACAGGAAAATAAGCACAAGGCACTGACATGGATGAGAAACAATAAATAATGCAGTGTACATGTCTCCATCTCCCTCCCCTCTATACATGCACTTCCTCCCATCTGCTTCCATGTTTTTATGTGGAAACACAGTCCACATTACATACAAATGCACATGCACCTTATGCACATTTTTTTGCAGAACTCCTTCAAATGTTTAATTATTTAACCATGATGCCTAAGAAAAAAATCATGATTGGGTGAGAAAGAAATGCTAAAGCTCAAATAGCATGGAGCAGATAACATGTTATTGTTGATTCTTTAAATAAACTTTATTGAACATGCTTATGTGGGCATGCACAAGAGATTTTAGTCATCTCTAGAGCGACCTGAAGTTCAAACCCAAGACTGTCACCTCCTCTCCAACACCTGTGGCTACCTGCATGTTGGTCAGACCAGCTTTTTCTGATGGGGAATGCTGAGATGAATTTACATTGTTTTCTATGTGTTCTTAGCATTTGGAGAGGATTGATAAGGATACATCTCGGCTTGGAATACAACCAATAACAAAACAAACTTGAATTAAACTACCTTGCTGCTGAGTGCAGCCAATGATGTTGCCGTTTCCACCCATGTCTGTCAAACAGAATTGGTGTTTACATCTCTTAGTTATGGCAAAAAAGTGTTTAGTGAGCTCACAGTATCCTCTTGACCACTACATTTCTATTAGTCCATTTGGATTTCCGAGTGGATATTCGTGCCATGTGTAAAGAAGTTGGCTCGAGGTGTTCCTGGGATATTAAATGGGATGAATGTGAGGTCCCAGTGACCTCGAACTTTGACCATCAAAACCCAATCACTTCATCCTTGAGTACTGCAGATGTTCGTGGCAGATGATGAAAAGAAATCCCTCAAGGCATTCCTGAGATATCAAGTTCACAAGAATGAGATATACATACATACACAGACGACCCACAAACAAAATGCCTCTGGCCACTGCTGCATTGGTTGTATGTGAGCATTGTCTCATTTTGTCAAACATTCTCTCCTGCAGCTTTAGCTCATTGGCTATGCTTCCGCCATTGTCTTGCCAAAGATCTGTTTTGTTCTTGAGTAGGTTGCTCTTCATATTTCTTGAATGACTGTAGAGAAACCTGCCCGTTTCAAAACAGACATTGCCAGTGGTGTATTAAACTATTGATTACAACTAAATAATTAATCGCCAGTCAATAAACTCAGAAAATGTTAACTTGTTGTTTTTCTTCTCTTTGAGTTTAAGCAGGTCATGAGTTTAGGGGTTTGTCGCTCAGCACAAATGGCGCCCTGAATTAACTGGCAATTGAAAGAATATTTTACACTAAAGTCACCATATCAGGATCCGAATCAGAAAACATGTATTAGTCTGTTGGAGATACGGGGATATTGTCATGTGGGTGGTGCATACATGGAACAAAAGAGAATAATGTGCAATTCATACAAAATAGTGCACAGGCAAAATTTGCAAACTCCAACAGCATTCATCCGGCGCTTTTTACTTTTTGAAACTTTGCACAGCTACAGTTTTTCCATAGCCTCTTGAGCGGCATCACGTCTCTCCCAGAAATCCCAACGGTTCTGCCCCATAGTAATAGAAAAAAATGAATAGAGATTAATAATAAGGGGCGGGGAGGAAGGCTCAGATTATGCACAGCCATTCGTTACCCTGGCTGATGTTCCTAATTTGAGGAAACCTGGGTTGAAGTTGTACCATCTCACCATGCCAGTTTCCCAGTTCAAGTGTGGACTAAACAAAATATAAATTCTAGTGTAAACAACATGTACAGCATGACGAGAACGACCATATTCTGTAACACCCAAAAGTTAAAATAAACGTCATTTGATTTGCTATTTGTTAGAGTCGAAGAAAAAATATAACCTGCACCCATGTCGACGTGCCCTCTGTCCCATGGAGCAGTTGTGGCATCACAGCGGCCTTAATTTCCCCTGATATGTGAGCATGAGCGACAGCCACCAATCCTGCCTGGAGTGGTGCCTTTGCACTGCTAGCGATGTCCAGATGTTTATTTCCCGCAGAAAAGTCAATGACGAGGTTAAACGTTTAGCCATGTGCAGGAGGGAAACAGGCATATCCGGTTAAGTACCCAAACAGGGCCAGGGGATGTGTCTTCTTCCAGGGCGAAGTGCCAGTTGGAACGTGTCATGTCTTTATAATCCTAAATACATTTAACAAGCTGCTGCTAATTGCTCATGAGAAAAAGCTTGCATGATTAATGCACTTTGTTAATGTATATTGATTTCTAAACCCAAATACTTGCTCATGTCTAAAAGGATGATGGCACAATGCACTTTTAAGCCTGGCTATAATGATTTGAATGCATGAAAATGAAACCGTTTTCATTTTTATTGAATTGGTCAACATTTTGAGCAACTTCGATCTAAAGAAAATAATGTACAGGTTTTGTGTACATTTTCTTTTTACATTTCAGGGTTTTTTTTAGTAGAAAAAGTTAATTTCATACAACGCAGCTCGTAAAAAATTCAAATAACTTAGCAATGTTTTTGTGAGGCATGCAATCATGTCCACTCTCAAAAAGCAGGAGGAAAAGCGCTATAAAGTCTGCATCAGTGCCTCTGGGATGCCGATGAGACATCACGCCAAACTAAATATGGCAGCTTAGATAGATGTTGATTTATACTGCCCATCTTTCCCTCTGCACCTATATCAGTCTTCACCATCAAAGTGCATTTGCAAAGTTTGCACTCAATAGGATGTCCCAACCCCCCATGCAGTCTTTTTTTACAGAGTCAAG